CCCAATGAAAGGCTTAATCAGATCAGATCATAGCTTACCCCGAAGAAGCCGAAGAGAGATAGTTTAGAAAGGATTTTAACATTTCGACAGTGCTCACTCAGGTCTGCCATGATGGCAACTTAATAAGACTGAAAGGGGACATGTAGTGATCAGCAAACAGCTTTGTAGACATATTGTGATACCTGACCATCGCAATACTTCCGTTTTACCTCGGCGAAGTAAAAAACTTTTTTTTCAAGAGGAAATGCTCTCAGATCTGAAGTTATGAATTCCAGAAAGTCCATATCATCATTTCTGTATGGGATTACGACAAGATGAGTAAGAACGACTTCATTGGGGAGGTGCGTGATTAAAGTTAATCGACTAGTTTCACTTCTGTAAGGAAGCAAAATCCAAACATTGTCGATTTCAAAGAGCTTAAATAAATAATATTTTTCCAAGTGAAAGACGTTCTTTCAGGTTACGCTCGCATCACAAGCGCTGAATCTTCCACAGGTAGGGACTCATGAAAAATGTTGTTTTCAATGTTTACTATTCTTTAAATTAGAAGATAAAAAATATAAAATAGGAGGGCAACTAGGTGCATTGAAATCTAGGTAGTGATTCTCAACTTGGCCCCTTACTGAACTCGACATATCCGCCTCATAAGAATTTTACCTTAAACTCACGGCTGTCGAATCGTTTCAATTCTTTTTTCTATATCGAGTGCAGGAAGAAGTTCGATGTTGTGAGTAATGTGCCTTCCCTCTGACTCCTACTGTCCTCTCAGCATTCCACTTTCCCTGTTATCCCTAACAGGCATCGTACCCTAAACAAACTGTTAAGGTTATATTTTTTAGGTCACCCATGCTTGTTACGAGCAATGGGCTGAAATGATGACATCACGACGACCCGTAGTTCAATGGCATACACTACAAGAACGGATGGAAAAAGAAAAGGACCGAAGTAAGTCGAAAGATTAGCCGTGGAGCAGAACGATTCGTGGTGGTCCACGTTATCTTCAGTGACGTCACTGCTACTGGGCACATATCATCGGATACGGTCAGGAAGTTTAACTCTGATAGGAAAAGGTTGAATGCACTTGGGCCCTGATGTGTGTGTGATTTAAGATGAGCCTAGAAGTCCTCTGTTGAAATGCAGAGAGTTGTGGAATTCTTATCGCTCTAGCACTGTCATTCTTCTCAGTTTTTTCCCTTCATCTTTATCATCTTTTCCTAATATTATCTATATCATTGTATCCATCTAATTGTTCCAGAAAAATCGATTTTTTTTTGTAAAAATATCTGCATTAGGACTGAAAGGCATGGAGCCGGAGGAAGACTCAATCACTATGCCTAAGATGAAACGAACCTCTCAAGTGACTGATAAATCGGGTTCTATTCATAGGAATATCGGGTACTGTTCATGGGTATAACCGCGGTTAACCGAAAGAATTTTCCTGAAAATTAGTCAGCTAACGAAGATTTCTGGTGAATATCCGCTAACCGAACGCAGGAAATTAAGCTCATTTTTCAAGAAAAAGGATAAATACCTCTTGCTGAGCATATTACCCTCCACTTTGTTTTTACAAACATCGGAGAATTAATTTATCGCATGATTCTACATCAAAGCCAAGTGGCAAAAACTCTCATCCATTTGTGAATCTATTGTGATGCAACTGACTCGATGCTTAAACGTCTGTGGGCTAACTTTGAATTGGAACGTGAGGCTTTTGACAGGTTCCGGGCGTTCCGCTAGGTAATTCTCGATTCGCCGAATCGATGTTGGGGAGTACACATCAGCTCACTTCAGATTTCCGGCTTGTTTTCTTGAGCCTTTGATCGTCTATGCTTCGAATAGTGATATTTGGAGGTAAAGAGGAGCCCACTGTTCTGAATTTCATGACTTTTCAACTTACACGGCTCCCAAAGTCGTTTTAATTTATTCCCTCTCTCCTGATGGGTGCAAACAGATTTGGTTTTGAGGGAAGCGACACAGAAGCAGGAGCATTGCCATGGGCTCCATATCCAGGGTGTGACCCATCCAAATGTCTCCATCTTCGATTAAAAACGTCGACTAAAACCCATTAACCATAGTCTTAACGTTCTGAACTAATTCTCGACAGTTCTATGGTGTAACGATCGAACCGATAGATGAGATGGGATTTCTCCTTCACTCGAAGGCCCAACGCAACCGAGTGTTCCAAGAATAGTCACACTCACAATCACCTTCCCGTCTGCTTTCCGATTCCAGTACATTCCCTATTCTCTCCATGCAATCAATCTGCCATTTCTATCTAATGCGTATGCCAAGTGTGTCTTATTTTGCATACAATGTATTCAAAAGAGCGATTACATGCGACGTTTCTTTTGTCCGGAGAAAAGAATGAGAAACCTTGCCTTTGTCGATCTATCTGCATTCAGGCAAGGGAAAAAGTAAAGGCTAGCAGAAACTTCCATTTTGCACCCTAATTCTACACCATGGCAGTGGCTGCTGAAATGGGAGCTTCTTCATGGAATGATTCGGTATACTTGACTTTAGCAGACACTGCGCACTCGACGCCTACACTCAAGCCTCGTGATCTCCAAACAGCTATAGTCCAAGAGACAGATGGCGATGAGATTGTGTTCACAGGTTCCCCAGTGGATTTAGTCTTATTGTTAGAAGAGTGGGCTTGTTTTGGAGTAGAGAAAGCCTGGAAGGGCTCAATAACGGCTAAGAATGGCTGGTTAAGTATTCTATGCCCGCTAAGTGAACTGGAGTCTCACTGATAGACGCCTCAGACATCCAAGGGATGCGCCACCTAGACAATGTTGAAAATGTAGGGATGCTGTACCCAGTCCTTGATGTGCTTGCGCCAACGTGGTCAGAATCGATGTGAACCTTACAAGAGCGCTATCTTCCGTCGCGAAATTCTCATACAATGTTGGAAAGGAGGGAAACAAAGGCCTGATATTTTCTTTCCTGTTCTTTTCGCCACTGCAGTAGTTTTAACCACCGATGCTTTCCTTTCTTGATTATTTGGTCATTATTCAGTCTTGATGCGATACATTCACCAAACAACTAGTGCAGAAACATAATTTTGCGTTCTCGTAGCACTCACGCTAAAGCAACAGCAATGAGGCGACATTTCTTCCGTACCCTTCTTTAGGCCATTCTTACTGGATAAGCTTCTAAGCACTACCCTTTTCTATGGGATTTTCTTGGTTGGAGGCCTCTAAGTGATACTCTTTCCTCTAGAGCTTTCCTCTTAGTGAGTTTCTAGTCATAAGTGTTACACTTCCCTTGAGGACACACTTTTCGGCAGGATTAAGTCGGTAGTTGGTTGCGTAGGTACCGTACATTCGCAAAACCAAAGTAACACCCACAACAATAAGAGCCTTCAAGCAAAGGCAAACCATGAATTCCAAATGCAAGGCGATAATATGTTCTCTCTTCTTGAAGGCGACATCCAACCCACATATACAAACCATTTCAATAGTGGACAACAGCAGATGTTTCTATCCGTGATATTTACCTGAGCAGGTAATATTTCCACTAGTCCAACTCCTCTTCAGCATCACCTACATGGACTGAGGATGAGAAATGACCAGGGAGATTATATTTCGCATAAGAATCTCAAGGAGATTCGCCCAAGGTATTACTTGAAATTCGACGTAGCTGGTCGGGGTTTTAGCCACGAAGAGTGTCGTTGTTAGTCGCCAAATTCATAATAAGAGTTGATATCGCACGCATGACTGCTCAATGGAGTATAGGGAGGATGCAAAGGTGAGTCTACCAAAATTTCGAGGAGTAGAAGATATCGTTGTGCAGAAATGTTTATAGTTGTAGAAAATATCGAATTTGACAGAGCGCTAGTTGAACTTATGACCTCATGAGTTCTAAGGCACAGCGATTCGGTGGCGCGGAGCTTAGTGAGCTCTCTGCGTGGAGCACGGTAGGGAATGCTCTGAGCTTCGCCAACTATCAACGAGGGAGAAGTACAATCATTGCCCTGGGACGCCAGTTTGATTCCATTGCACTGGTTCCTGCGCTAATCACTCTTGCCACTGAAAACCCTTGGTCCTCAACGATAGGTTCAGTCTAGCCGGATGGTTTCGCCTTTGCACGTTGGGAGCTAGCTGCGGTTAACCTTCTGCTGGCAATAATCTTAAGTCAATTTACTTTCGAAGAGCTCCCCTGCGGCAGCAATCCTTATAATCCCCATCCTCACAGCTCACCTTTCAATCCTAACAACTTACTGATACCGAGCCTTAGAAACGGCTAAAACACTCACACTCACGGATATAACCTTATCTATAATATTTGTTTATGTTAGTGCGAACGTGCTAATGTTAGAGCTTAGGTTTGTTCGCTGTCTCACTTCCATAGCCACATAAGTACATAGCGCGCTGACGACTGTGATAAACGTGCTTAAATAATGGCCTCATTCAATATGTTGATTGCCATACGAGTTCTTTGCGTAGTAAAAGAGAGTCTATCGTTTGAAATTCTATCTATTTCATCAGCATTGCTTTGATTGTCCCCGGTTTCCAATGTTTTCTGATCCTTACTGTGCTGTACATTACTCGTTATTTCTTGTCGCTGAATGATTATTGTTCTGTTAATGCAATAAAAATGTTATTTTCCAGTGGTCTTCAGAAGTCTATTTTGGGGACGCTGAGTCTACGGAATCACCCAATACTACTCTGCTTGTTTAGCATAAAGAGATTGACCCCATGGGAATAAAACGATTCCTATCGAATTCGGAAATGTAAAATAAACGGTGGAGGCAATCAGAAAGTTAGAAGTATCCATTAGTGTAGAAGAAAACCACGAAGGAACTGCATTTTCAATTAATGAAATACATCGAGAGCGTGCCCATTTAGTATTCAGTTTTGGCATCGGGTCCCAGAATTCAATGTAATATTTGAATGTGCACCCGGTTGGCATGGGAGATTGTCGAATCTGCTACTATACAGTTTTTTGTTGGTTTCCATCTTCATTGTCAATTGAGCCCCATTCACCTAAGAAGAAGTGAGAATTGAATGGCCAAAAAGGCCTGTTGTGCATTTGATGACCGCAAAAGCGACGGCGCTGCAAGTCCCTGTCCCACATCCACATATACAGAGTGTCCCAAAATTATTTGCGCCAAAGTTCAGAAATATTTAAGGTAGAAATAATCTATCAAATTCACATTAACTGGTATTAATTAGTTGCATAAGAAGGTTTCCTTGCAATATGCATGGTTG